TAGATTACATTTGAAGCCATCTATATGCTAATGTTCATATGTTATTTTAATGTTCATATACTACGGTTCAAAAGTTTGGGGTCAGAAAGTTAAAAAACGAAATAATATTTTTGTTCAGCAAGGAAGCATTAAATTGATAAAATGTGACAGTAAAGACATTTATAATGTTACAAAATATTTCTATTTCATATATCTATTCTATTTATATCTATATCTATTTCTATTTCTATTTCAATTAAATGCTGTTATTTTCAGCGTTATATTTACTGAAGAATCTTGAAAAACGTATCCCAGTTTCCACAGAGATATTAAGCTGTACAACTGTTTTCAACATTGATAATAATAAGAAATGTTTCTTGAGCAGCAAATCAGCATATTATGATTTCTGAAGGATCATGTGACAAAGACTGGAGTAATGATGCTGAAAATCAGCTTTGGTGATTCGTCATCCGCTGGACTCCACTCTCTCGTGAACGCACGTACAACAGTTAGCGGAAGCTAGAGAGTAAGGTTTATAAAGTTGTAAATACGGATATTTTTCTTACACAAACGCATCGCGTCACTTCAGAAGGCCTTTATTAACCCCCCGGAGCCGTATGGACTTCTTTTTTAATGGATGGGTGCAATTTTTTTTTACTTCAAATTTTGGGCTACCATCCACTCCCATTATAAAGCATGGATTAGCCTGGACATTATTTAATACAACTCCGATTGTATTCATCTGATAGAAGAATGTCTTATACACCTAGGATGGCTTGAGGGTGAGTAAATCATGGGGTCATTTTCATTTTTGTGTGAACTATCCCTTTAAAGGGGTCCTATTATGCTCTTTTACAAAGTCTTGATTTTGTTTTCGGGGTGTACTAGAACAGATTCTCATACTAGGTTGTTCGAAAAACACATTATTTTTTACATATTTTACATTATTATAACACCTCTCTCCCCAGTCTGGCATGAACGGCTCGAATAGTTCCTGTATCAAATGAAGGCCCGCCTTCTGAAATACAAAATGTGCTTTGATTGGTTAGCTGGGCCAGTGTGTTGTTGTGATTTTCAATTTTAAAGGGGTCCTATTATGCTCTTTTACAAAGTCTTGATTTTGTTTTCGGGGTGTACTAGAACAGATTCTCATACTAGGTTGTTCGAAAAACACATTATTTTTTACATATTTTACATTATTATAACACCTCTCTCCCCAGTCTGGCATGAACGGCTCGAATAGTTCCTGTATCAAATGAAGGCCCGCCTTCTGAAATACAAAATGTGCTTTGATTGGTTAGCTGGGCCAGTGTGTTGTTGTGATTGGCACCACTCGGCGCCTGGTCGGGAAATGCCATGCCCCTTACCATAGCCGCCTGCGAGCTTCAGTGTAAATATTACGTCAAAATCAAATCAATTTAAACCCGGATGATTGTAACCACTCAAAGCTAGCGTGTCTCCGACATAGTGATAACACTCGTTGCCTTCTCTAGTGCAGCTCAACCAGGTCTCGTCCCATTCATCGATATTTGTGATATCACAAATCCCGGAAAATATGAGTTGTAGTCCAAACGAGTCGTTCGTTGTAGTTTTTGAAAAGTAATTTCTGTTAAATAAAATATCTCCTTTTGAAGTGGACTTTGAACTTTGTAACTTTGCAGATCTTTTTTATGCTCAAACAGCAACATTACAGACTAACTAAAGTTGAAAAAGTGAAAAAGCATAATAGGACCCCTTTAACAGGCATGTCTGCTATGGAAAAATGGCAGCTTGAGAATTCTTCCAAATTTTTTCTTTTGCGTTCCATGTGACAGCATAGATTTTTTTTAACCACACGAGGATGAGTAAATGACAGAATTTCTATTTTTGGGTGAACTATCCATTTAATTCTGTATTTTGTTGTTGTTGTTGTGGTTTTGTTTATTTCAAACATTTCAAAATAAAACGTATCTAATGTTAGGATGCACATGCTTGAACAGTTGCAGTATTGTTGTATCTTCCATTTTGCTGACCATGTTTTGATTGTGTTTTTAGGAGGGACAATAGATCGCACCATGGTGTTCTGCAGTAGTGCACAGGAGCAGCTGGAGTGGTTAGAACATCTTCATGCTTACACCAAGGAAGGAAGTCCAGTCGGAACAACATTGAAGGTAACACTTTCTCTTTTTTTGCACCTTATTTCTCAGTATGATGACCGTCTACAGGTGAATCATTATTTTCTTGTGGATTTTGCATGAGCAGAGTGTTGAGGCTAAGCTTACAACCATGGCTGGCACGTCGTCCCACCACTTGCACAGTTTCGGTACTGCTGTGGCTAACCGAGGCCCTCTCGAAACCCCCAAGATCACCAAGCCATGGTCCTTAAGCTGTCTGAGACCAGCGCCGCCTCTCAAGCCCTCCGCTGCGCTAGGTTATAAAGAGGTATGCTTTCTGGAAAACAGTCATAAGAGATCTTGAGTGGGAGCGTAATTTACCTTTGTGTATTCTTGGTGGTCCTAACAGGAAACCGATGCACACAGAGCTACTCTGACTGTAAAGTTTTTCAGCCAGCAGCCTCCTTCATCCTCTTCACCACAAGCTGCGGTGGAGGTGTTGTTATCTCAGATTTAAGTGGAATGTTTAGTGGTCTTTGAGCTGCAGATTAGCTAACTCTACCCAAAGCCCACTCGAACATCTTATTAATGTGCATGGCCTCTCTACAAGATTTTACCAAGGGTGTTAGTGACGATCATGAAATGCATGTGAAATTTTCTGTTTCTCTGCAACAATTAATGTTCACCTCTCACTGATCTTTCCATCATATTCCTGTCAGGCTGTTCTTTTATTCTCATACACATCTTCATTCTCTCTCCATTTTCTGCTTCTTTAGAGGATGTCTTATATCCTGAAGGTAAGAGTAGATGTGTGTCTGTGTGTTTTGTGTGAGTACGTGTGTGTGTGTGTGTGTGTGTGTGTGTGTGTGTGTGTGTGTGTGTGTGTG